TTTCATAATTAAATCCACTGACTTTTTCTTCCACGTTGGTCGTGCATACTACTCCATAATTTATAAAGGAATTCTCGTTCCGCGTGCCCAATTTATAGAGGAAACAATTTGTGATACATTGCATATATAACAAACTGGTTCATGCTTAAAAAAAATATATTATCGTTGGCATGGAGTATATGTATATAAAATTTGTACATTTATTGCACATCTGTCATCGGTGTAATCCCATGCGCCATAAATCAGAAATGAGCCAGGCACACGAATTTAAAAAAAAAAAAAGATTGTGATCGGTGAGCAACACAATAAAATTACAATATTTTTATCCTTAAATAATCATATTTGAGTGTCACTGTCTTGATCACCAATATGCAAAAGATCATTAATGCTGTATAAATAGACATATTTGAGAAACTAAAGAAGCGCGCTCAAAGTTTATTAGGTCGCAAAAACAAGAAAGAAAATTGGATAATGGCGGACAAAAAGTAGAGCTAGTGTTTCTCTCAGGACTTGGGATGGGTCACATCGTGCCAACCGTCCAGTTTGCATAGCAGATTGTTGATCGTGACCACCGATTCTCTGCTACCATACTCAGCATCCAACTCCCTCGCGACTCACTCGTCAGCGCGTACACTCAATCACACACCGCCACCACCCGGGTACGTTTTTGGACATCCCCCAGGTGGACCCAACTACAATTCACCCTTTCCAAACCCCCATAGCCGACATTTTTGCGTTCATACAAAAACATGTTCCCCACGTAAAACATGCAATCACCAAACTCCTGTTGACTCAGTCTGAGTCCGACTCGCTCGTACTCGTTATTGACACATTTTGTACTGTAACGCCCCGAATTTTTTTTAAAAATGTAACGACCCAGATTTCTCAACCCGGTGCGTTAGTGATGAACCGGAAGTTGACCCGATAACGGACCCGAAATGCGGAAGCGAAAGATGCCAAATGACCTCAAGAGATGTACGTCATCCCTAAGGCCCCAAAATGACTCTCCATGAAGCCACGGAACTCAAAGGAGCCAAGCAAATGAAGCAAGAATGCCTAACCCGAAAAAAGATGAACTAAGGGCAAAATGGTCATTTCTCACTGAAAAGGGTGCCACCGTGCACACCATTGGAAGGACAACGAAAAATGAATGAAATTAGACTCAAGAATCGTCTGATTCTGAGTCCGAGCAGAAAAGATATGAAATTCCAACACCCGATGCGAAAGTTATGAAGCAATGACTCAACATTTTCTAATATTTTCATAATAAACTTTGAAAACAAAAGTGCATAAAAAACGAGATACATGTCATTGGCCTCCGGCCTCATCTCATACATGTTAAATACATTGAAAAGAGTGCACTTACGTACACTTTACATATACGAATCAACGAATACAAGTTTAAACAAGTAAGGCTACAAAGAGGCATCTTATGCTAACACTTGCATAAAATAGAAACTTAGAAACTATAGGCCATCCAAGGAGCAATGGAATCTTCAAATCCTGAGTCCTGTACCTGAAATATGCCCCAGTATCGTAGGGGGGAGTAACATAAAGCTACTCGTAGGAGATGAGCATGCATCGACCTAGCATTTTACAATTTTATCACTTTATGGTGAAACATGTTAAAGGGGCTCATGCCACCTAACGTCTATGTCAAGATGAGACACATGGAGCATCCTAAGCTACTTAGATCATTTATATCATAATCACATTGTTCATGCAATTCAAACAACATGGAAACATGTTATACAATGCAACAAGATATAGATTCTCAAAGTCTTCAACTTGAAATCCAAAATACGAAGACAACAAGTGTGGGTCATGCCACCTAACTTCTATGTTCAAAATGAATCTATAAGGTCATTCCTAAACTACATTTGAACATCAAAACACAAATTATGATATCGATGCAATTTAACCAACAATGGAACTTCCAATACAACGCATGAAGCATGCTTTCACAAAATAGGAAATTAAATAAGGAACAAGAAGTTACGATATCACCTAGTTATCAACTTGAAATGAAATACGAAATCAAACAAAGTTGATACTCGGACGTCACGCCGGATCAGACCGATAACATAGTTACTTTAGGGTTATTAGCCCATGGGTAACCTCCTTATGTGCGCACTAGACTGTATAGAGGGACAATCCCCCGTACTAGAACCAAGTTCTAGCCGTAGCCAAACAACGACATCCCCAAGTTTCCAAAATCAACAAATTGTGCAACAACGTATATATATCAACATGTATATACAAGATATCAACTATTTATCAAGCACAATCCAAAATTTGGAAACTTATACAATACATGCTCAAAATTCACAAGTACTATGGCATGTAAGATGTCAAATACAAAGTGTGCAATTCCTTACACATAGCAACAATATATTCAATAAGGAAATACATATTCTCATGAATATAAAAGTAACAACTATGTTATCCAATGCTCAAAAGTAATCAAGTGAACATACATCAAATCCAAATCCATGACTTAAATATAGAAACAACTTCCAAAATGCAATTAAATCCATGGAGTAATAAAGTAGAATTTAATTAAACATAAATAGTTAAATTCTCTAAATTCCAAATTAATCCAAATAACCTCAATTTAATATATATTGAAAGACATGTCATGGTCATCATATATATAACATCAAATGACAAGTTAAGTGATTAAAATACTTGAAACAAAATTAATCAAGCTAATTAATTAATTTCCTCTAGATTTTTAAACAATTCCAAATGCCCTCAATTTAATCTATGTTAGAGAACATGCCAAGGCCTATTTAAATACCACATTACAACTTGATTTAATGCTTGATACAACCATGTGAATTAAACTTTCACTAAAGATAAATATTAAATAAAAGTTGTAATTATTAATTAAATGATCCAAATTTAATATATGTTAACCAACATATCTAAGGATAATTTCCTAACATGTTAGAATTCAAATCAAAGTTATACATCATCATAAATTTTAAATCATATACAAAGAAATAAAAATTACTAACTTTCTAGATTTGATACAAGGCATACATATATGTTGTATAATCATGGCAAACACACAATACAACACACAAATAATCCTAAAACATTCCCTACCTCAATTGGAATAAAAATCCCAATTACCACCGAAATGAGATCACCCCAAATTTTCGGTCCGCAAAACAGATTTTTCAGCTTGCTACCTTCAACTTGTAAAATTCATAAAAAATTTCAATTCTAACCCAAATTGAATGAATCCAAAGCCAAATGAAAGCTTAAAAACTGTAATTTGATAATATCAATTTAGTTTAACAAAATATTTTCCCAATTGAAACAGTTTTTCCCCACAACTTTGAAACAATTTCTGCCCAGAAAACACATTTTCAGCCTGTAGCTTCCAACTTTGAAAATTCATGAAAAATTCATTTGACATCCAAATTGGGCAAACCTAATTTATTTTGGAAGTAAACATATGAGAGTGTAAAACTAAAAATTTAAGCCATGATCCAATGTCAAAAGGTTAGTGAAATAAATCATCTAAAAATATGTTTTCCAGCTGCAATAAAAACATGGACAGCAGATAGTTTCGGATTTTAAAAAAATTTAGAAATGCTCTAAAATCGTGAAAAAATTCTGAGTAGTGTAAAACCCATAGGGGAAGTTCTAATAAAAATTTCAAGGCAATTGAAGCACCACAGCTCCATATAAAAAATTTATTTCTGGACTAAAAAGGAAAAACTTCGAATTTCCAACAACTAGCTTGCAACTTCAAAAATTCATAACTAATTCATTTTAAATCCAAATTACATGAAACCAAAACTAAATGAAAGCTAATTGAGTATATTTTCATATTCTATATTTAATTTGGCAAGATTAATTTCAAGTTAAAACAGTTTAAGTGCAAAATACAAGTCCTTCTCTTCCATGCATATAAAACACTCAATAATGATTTAAAAATACTTCAAAATAATAGATCAATACCTCACTAGAGAATTGAATCTCTAGATACCAAAGCAAAACTAGGAGTTAGGCTAGATCCTTCAAGGGTTTTGAAGAGGAGGATGAGGGGAACAAAAAGTATTCCAAGTTCAAAGTTCTAAGGTGAGTGAAAGGGTACAAAAAATGAAGTCAAAACTACTAGCCAAGCTTTTCTCCAATGGTGGCTTCCTTAGGGTTCTTGAGAGGAAAGTGATGAATGAATTAAAATGTGTAAACCCTAAGCTAAATTGGTGGGCTTTTCCACTCACTAGGTGCTCTTGCACTACCTCTCACACACACACTAATGCAAGACTAAAGGTGAGTCCTACACTTGTCATGAATCCAAGTAAGCTTCCAAGATTAAATATTAACCCTACACTTGTCAACCATCCATGCCAACAAGTGCACCAATCCTAGGACAACAAGTGGGTGAATCCTCACCCTCCAAATGTCATCATCCAATGCATTAAAGTGTTTCCACACAAATGTCAACAAGTGGACCAATGAGAGCGTAACACTTGTCACACTTTTCAAAAATTGCAAAAAGGTCCTTTTTAAAAATATCTTCCAAATTTAATTACAAAATGGTCCATAAGACGAAAAATAATTACTTTACTTAATTACCCAAAAACCACTCAAGTTATGGATAATTGCAAAAAGTCTTGTTTCCATGGCTTTTACAAAGAAAGTAAGCATTTAATATGCATTTCTACAAAAATAAAAATGTAGATGTCATGGAATTTAAATATCATGAACGTATGCAAAACCGGAATCAAATCCGAGCACAAAAAGTGAAAAACGAGAAGAGGACGAAATAAGGAAAAGACGAAAAATGAATAGTGTCAAAAAACAAAAAAATGTGGAAATGACTCGGTCCTCAAAGGAAGTTGTCAATCCAAAGGAAAGAGTCTCAGAAACCATTTCAGAGCACTCGAGATGACACTAAGAGGCGGGAAATCGAACCCGAAAAGGAAATGATAATGAAAAAAAAAATTTAATCCCAAAATTTGAAGAAAATGACCTGGTCATTACAAAAAATAAATTCCTCGATTTATTTAAATCAAAATACATTAGTATTACACCCAGGATCTCAAAAAGAAATATCATTTTATTGATACAGAATCAATTTCCTCAAATAAATAATACAACATCTCTAAAATAAATAAAGTATCCTCAGCACCAACTCTTCCACTTAAGCCCGCTACTAGCAATCCAAGTTCATCCTCGATACCTGAAACTGTAGGGGGGTGAGACAGTAGGAAAAACCATAACAAGAATTTCAATAAATTTCATGCAAAATTAATTTTACAAAAATATACATATACATTTAAACAAAAATATGTATATGTAATTTATTTAAACAAAAGAGCAATCATAAAATATTTGAAACAAATCATTCAAGCCATCCAATATATGATGATCCCTACTCTGCAAAAGAGTTAAATCATCTGTGCATCAAGCTCGGCCCTCTGTGTGTGTCTCGGCTTTTCTGTGCACTTCTCTATTTTTTATTTCTGATTGCTTACTAACTTATAAGACAGATGCCATATTTATAGGTAAACACACCGACACAATACAACTGCTCATATACAAATATCAAATATCATCATCTAAACACAATCATTCTGTCTCCAAGTAGCACCATGTGCATAATTCAAAACCAAATAATTTTGGCCTTAAAGTCATCTAGTAGGCCCCACAAAAATTACTTTTCTTTACTCCATTTATCTTCTCTCGGATGGAAGCTTCCATTCCATCTTATCTTCATTTATTTCTTATTCTATATCATCACTAAAAAAAAGACTATACACACTTGGTCAACAACTAAACCAAAATCTACTCATCATTCTCCTTATTGGGCCCGCACCTCATACCCATTTTCTATTTCTTTCTTTCTCTAAATTCGGCTGGTAGCACTCATTCACCATTTTGACACTGCTCCCTTTCGATTCAATCTCCATCAGATCAAAAAAATACAATATAAATTCAATTTCAACATAAATAAATCAACCCATTAAAAATCTCAATTGGATAAATCTCCAAATAAAAATTAAACTGTCAATCTTGACAACTAAAATCATGAAATAAATATAATTTAAATTCTTAAAAATCCGGGTTGTCACATTGTCCACCACTTAAAAAGAATTTCATCCCAAAATTCAGATCCAACAATTTTCGTATACCCAAAAACAACAAAAGTGACAAAACAAAATCCAAAAATCCTTACCCCAGGCAATGCGAGATACTGTGACATGCAAAATGTTGTGGTAGCTGACAGTGCTAGTTACTCGCCCACACACTCTGAAACCATTATGGTAGCTAGTTGATGCCGTCACCTGCCCACAAAATAAGACTAATAATAAAACAGGCAATACCATATGCCGAATCACAATTATTGACCATCCCAATAGCTATCAGTGAACGACACCCGCCCATACACACCAGGTTATGAGCAGTAGCAAATCAGAACTAAACACTCGCCCACTCACACCCGTCTAGCTATAACATCACTACACTCACACTTTCGGCTGGGTACAGGCTCTGATACCATTCTGTAACGCCCCAATTTTTTTTTTTAAAATAAATTCCTCGATTTATTCAAATCAAAATACATCAGTATTACACCCAAGATCTCAAAAAGAAATATTATTTTATTGATACAGAATCAGTTTCCTCAAATAAATAATACAACATCTCTAAAATAAATAAATAATCCTCAACACCAACTCTTCCACCTAAGCCCGCTACTAGCAATCCAAGTTCATCCTCGGTATCTGAAACTGTAGGGGGTGAGACAGTAGGAAAAATCATAATAAGGATTTCAGAAAGTTTCATGCAAAATTAATTTCACAAAAATATACATATACATTTAAACAAAAATACGTATATGCAATTTAAACAAAAAAACAATCATAAAATATTTGAAACAAATCATCCAAGCCATTCAAGGTATGATGATCCCTACTCTGCAAAAGAGTTAAATCATCTGTGCATCAAGTTTGGCCCTCTCTGTGTGTCTCGGCTTTTCTGTGCACTTCTCTATTTTTTCTTTTTGATTGCTTACTAACTCACAAGACAGATGCCATATTTATAGGTAAACGCACCAACACAATACAACTGCTCATATATAAATATCAAATATCATCATCTGAACACAATCATTCTGTCTCCAAGTAGCACCATGTGCATAATTCAAAACCAAATCATTTTGGCCTTAAAGTCATCTAGTGGGCCCCACAAAAATCACTTTTCTTTACTCCATTTATCTTTTCTCGGATGGAAACTTTCATTCCATCTTATCTTCATTTTTTTCTTATTCTATATCATCACTAAAAAAAAGACTATACACACTTGGTCAAAAAGCAAAAAGGCAAAGGCAAATGCAAAGGCAAAGGCAAAATCAATAGTTACATCACCAACCCAAACCCACCTTTCCTTTTGGTCGGCAACCCACCTTTTCACACCATATAACATTTATATATATATAGATAAAACAAAATCAAACCCAATTGTCTCCTAGTGGGTCCCACGAAAAAGCCATCAACACAAAAAAATTAATTTTCTTTCTTTCTTCATTAATCTCGGCACTTGTCCCTTCTCATCAAACAGATGCAACACAAAATATACACACACACACACACACAAAACTAAACCAAAATCAACTCATCATTCTCCTTATTAGGCCCACACCTCATACCCATTTTCTATTTCTTTCTTTCTCTAAATTCGGCTGGTAGCACTCATTCACCATTTCGGCGCTGCTTCCTTTTGATTCAATCTCCATCAGATCAAAAAAATATAATATAAATTCAATTTCAAGATAAATAAATCAACCCATTAAAAATCTCAATTGGATAAATCTCCAAATAAAAATTAAACTGTCAATCTTGACAACTAAAATCATGAAATATATATAATTTAAATTCTTAAAAATCCGGGTTGTCACATGTACTCCGATGATCGACGTCACTAACGAGCTCGGCATCCCTTGCTACCTTTTCTTCCCATCGCCGGCTTCTTACCTCGGCTTGTTGCTCCACCTCTTGACCCTTGACCAATAAATCACCACCAAGTTTTATGACTCGGGCACTGAGTTGGAGGTGCCGAGTTGTGCTAACTCAGTTTACCCACTCGTCCTACCCTCTGTTTTATTGAGCAGAACTCAAGATGGGTATTCTTGGAACCCTATCATGGTCGGAGGTACAAGGAGACAAAGGGTATTATTCTTAATACGTTTTAAGAACTCGAACCGTTTGCTCTTAACTCGTTTTTGGGTACTGACGTACCCCCAGTTTACTCGGTCGGACCGTTGGTTGACCACTATGGGTTGAACCAACCGGATTCAGACTGGGCCCACGAGGACAAGGTTTTGAACTGGCTTGATCATCAACTGCAATCATCAATGGTTTTCTTCTATTTTGGAAGCTTAGGCAGTGTAAGAGGGGCCCAACTGAGGGAGATAGCAATCGGTCTAAAGCGAACCGGGCAAAGGTTTTTGTTATCACTGCGCCGACCGGAGGCTTTCGAGTCACGCGACTACACTGATCTAGATGAGGTGTTGCTGAATGGGTTTTTGGAAAGAACAGCTAAAACCGGTTTGATTTATGGGTGGGTCCCACACGTGGTGATCTTGGCCCACAAGGCAATCGGAGGGCTGGTGTCTCATTGTGGGTGGAACTCATTTATGGAGAGCTTGTGGTATGGTGTACCTGTTGCCACGTGGCTGGTTTTTGGATAACGAAAGATGATAGCATGGGAGCTGGTGAAGGAGCTAGGATTGGTGGTAGAGATTAGATCACCATGCTACATGGACGGACTGGACGATGGTGGTGATTTGGTTTTGGCGGAGGAGGTGGAGAGGGGAGTGAAAGGTCTGATGGACGGTGATGGTGAGTTGAGGAGAAAGGTTAAGGAAATGAGTGAGAAAAGCAGGAAAATGGTTCATCGTTTGCTCATATTATGAAGGCAAATATTTGGTGGAGGAACTTATGAAGGCAAATATTTGATGGACTCCTAAATTTTTACTTAGTATTTTTTTTTTTTTTTAGGTGGTTAATTTTTTGGACCTTGTGTAACGACTCGGTCATTTGCCTTCCTTTCCTTTTTCCTGAAATTTTACGAATGAATTTTTTTTTTCATTTAATTTTCTTTTCTGAGCTCTATTTCGTGTGGCTTAGTGTCATCTCGAGTGCTCAGAATTGGTTTCTGAGACTCTTTCATGTGAATTGATAACTTTCTTTGAGGACCGAGTCATTTTCGCATTTTTCGTTTTTCAGACACTATGCGCCTTTCGTCCTTTTCCTTGTTTCGTCTTTTTCCCTATTCTGTCTTATCTCCGTTTGTCAGTTTTTGGTACAACCTCACTTCTCATGCTCGGAGTTGGTTTTTGACTTCACGTGCCTTCATCTTGAGTGGTTTCCTCGAAATACGTATCTTTACTTTTGCAAGAAAGTACTTTGGTTGCTCCCGGTGTCCATAGGGGTATAGATGCACAATTCTTTAGAATCTTTTTCATTTCTTGGGGTGTTTTTCGTAAATATCTTTTGAAGATATTTTATTTCAGGGGCATCTAAGAAAATATCTTTTGGAGGATATTTTCATTCTGGGGTAATTTCGTAGTTAACCCTTTTTGTAGGGGCCATTGTGCAATTAACGAAAGTTATTGCAAAATGTCTCGTCCGGAGCCTGGATCCTTGTACGGGATTTATTTTCACTTTTTGTTGACTCGTAAATTCATAGAATTCCATTCTGTTCGTTTTTCTCCAGTTTCAGAATTTCTGGATCTAGTTGCCGTCGAACTTGTTTGGGGCATAACTTTCTGTTCGGGACTCAATTTTTGACACCGTTCCTTCCGTTATTCATATTTTCTCATTTTGAATCTTTTTTGTTCACAGAGTTTTTCCGTTTGAGCGCGTTTGCTCAAAATTCACTTTTCAGGACCCGGCGGGGCTCTTTCGGGGCAGTTTTTGAGACTTACTATAAATAGGATGCCCTAAAGTGAAAAATCAAATTTTGGTCATCTTCCCCACCTCTCTTGGCCGGATCTCCTAGCAGCCATGGCTGCCACTTTCTCTCTCATCCTTTGGTCCACTTTTCCTTGGTAGAAATCCTTCGGCCTTAGCATTTATTGCTTCCCTCGACGTGCGCTACCTTTTGCCCTTATTAGAATCAATTTTTGACGATTTTTCAAGTTTGGGTTTGGAGTCAAGTTGAGATTTTCATGGGGCTTCTTGCGGATTCATGTTCACGGTGGTGTCCCTGACAAAACCTCTCGGTATCGTCAAATTCGGAGCACTTTTATTTTGGTGGGCCTTTGAGATTTCATCTCAAATTGAGGTAGGGGATGTTCTAGGTTTAAATTCTTGTTATATAGCATGCTTGTGATGCTTATACAACTTTTTGGCATGATTAAATATAAAACCTAGAGATTTTATTATTTATTTTTCTGTTACGGGATCTGATTTTCCCGGTTGCTCATGACTTGGTTTGAACATGTAGCATGATTTTATATTGCCCCTTGATATGCTCATTGTCATGTATTAAAATTGGAACATTTAAATAAGTATTAAAGATTTTATTTAATATTTATCTTAGGTGAAAGATTAATTCACATGGCCTTAACTAGCTTGAAATTAATATGTGTTAGCATATTATATTAGGCCTTAGCATGCTCTTCAACATAGTTGAATTTGAAAGTAATTGGAGGTGTTTTGAAAATTAGTAATTATTAATTAATTTGATTAATTAATTTACCCCGAGTGCACTATTCACTCTATTTAAATTCCGACTTGATATTCTTGACTTACATGCCATATAGCTTCACATATATTTGATTTAGAATATTTGGTTAGATTTTCAAACCATTCATTTACTTAAATTCCTTGTTTAAGATTTAATCCTCATGGTGATATACAACTTGGAATTGAATTGTGGTATGCTAGAAAATTAAGCTTAGGTATAGTTGTTCACATATATTAATTTGGGACTATTAGAAGTTGTTTTAGAACCTTGGAATTTAAATTACCATGATTTAATTAAAATTCTACCTTGTTGTTCTAACAACCTAATTGAGTTTTAGAATGGATATAGGTGATGACCTTGCCATGTCCTTTAACATGTGTTAAATTGAGTTTAATTGGAATTGAATCGGAATCTATAGAATTTAATTGTGTTTATCTATTTAAATTCAATCAATTTACTCCATGATCTAGTTGTGTTTTAGAAGTGGTTTCTATATTCAAATCATGGACTTAGACTTGTTGTATATTCATTTGGTTATGCTTTGAACATTGGATAACATAGTTGTTTTGTTTGTACTCATGAGAATATGTTTTCCTTATTGAATATATTGTTGCCTTGTGTAATGATTTGCACATTTCGTATTTAACATCTTTCATGCATAGCGTGTAACGAATCGCACATTGAAGATTCAACATTCATCATATCATATTAGTTGTGGATTCAGAGCATGTATTGTATAGGTTTCCAAATTTGGTTGTGCTTAGTAGATAGTCGATTATCTTGCATATTCTTGTTGATATATGCGTTGTTGGACAACTTGTTAATTTGGAAACTTGGGGATGTCGTTGTTTGACTATGGCTAGGACGTGGTTCTAGTACGGGGGATAGTCCCTCTATATAGTCTAGTGCGCACATAGGGAGGTTATCCATGGGCTAATAACCCTAAAGTGACTATGTTGTCGGTCTGATTCGGGGTGACGTCCGAGTATCCACTTTGTTTGATTTCACATTTCATTTTTAAGTTGATAACTAAATGATGTTGTAACTTGTTGTTCCTTATTTGTCGTTCCATTTTAAGTTACATGATGTTAACTTTGCGAAATTGTGCTTTATGCGTTGTATTGGAAGTTCCAATATTGGTTAAATTGCATCGATATTGAAAACTGTGTTTTGACGTTCCAATAAAGCTTAGGATTGATCCTATTAATTCATTTAGAACTTAGACGTTAGGTGGTATGAACCACTACTGTTATTTTGTGCTTTAGATTCTAAGTTGATGGCTTTGAGAACTTATACCTTGTTGCATTGTATAACATGCTCTTTTGTTGTTGAATTGCATGGATAATGTGATTCTTGTTAACTTGTATTCAAATATGCTTTTGTCATGTTGTATGGATTACTCTAGACCTAGTTCAATTGTATTGAAAATGCAATTCATGTTAATCTATGCTCAAGCATTCTTCTTGTTGTGTTCTTTGGATTATCCCAACCATGATTCATTTTATACACGTATGTATATCATGATTCTTGTTGCTTAGACTCTAAGGTAGCTTAGGATGCTCCCCGAGTCTCACTTGGACATAGACATTAGGTGGCATGAGCCCCTTTAACATGTTTCACCTTAAGGTGATAAAATTGTAAAATGCTAGGTCGATGCATGCTCATTTCCTACGAGTAGCTTTATGTTACTCACTCCTACGATACTGGGGCATATTTCAGGTACAAAGACTTGGTTCGTGACACCTAGCATTCCTTGGATGGCTTATAGTTTTTAAGTTTCCATTTTATGCAAGTGTTAGCATAAAATGCCTCTTTGTAACCTTATGTATCAAAATATGTATTATTTGATTCCATATATGCAGTGTATGCTTAAGTACACTCCTTTCAATGTAGTTGATATGTATGAGATGAGGTCGGAGGCCAATGACCATTATATTGTATTCTATGTACTTTTTAACTTCATGAAATATTGTGAAAACCTTGAAAAATCGCAAGTCATTGCTTCACCACGGTTGCATCGGGTGTGGGAATTCCATGCTCATTCTTTCATAGGGTCTCATTAATCTTGTATGAAGTGTGGCCAAGGGCCAAATGGTTAATTGACTCCATTTTGTATTTTTGGATTCCATATTTTCCATTCTAAGTCTGTTTTTGCCTTTTTGCCCGTTGGGGGGTCGGATTTTGCATCGGCTATGTTTTTAAGCCATGGACCATTGTAACACGTCTAAATAGGTAAGTTACGTTTGCGTGCATAGTCATTTCCGGGCAAAACCTCATCGTTTGTGTTTTGAGCCTCCAACGGACTCATTTTGCGTTTTTGTTGTATATTTTGATCTAGGGGTATTCTAGAATTTTCAATTCAGTTTTATTTCCTTCTTTCAAAATGGTTGAATAGAGAACATGATTTTAGGGGGGGTTTCTATTTTGTGATTTTCCAGAAAATTTCGTCTTGACATCGGAAATCACTTCCGAAGTTCAGCTCTCAGTTTTTAAATTTAGCAGTTTTTTGGACCATCTGGACCAGTTTTCTTGGGAGGGCATTTTGGGTATTTCACAGTGAGTATTTTTTTATTTTCCCAAGTGGTCACGTAGAAAACTCAATTTTGAGGGGGGTTTCTTCTTTGTGTTTTTCCAGAAAATGTCATCTAGGCCCTCAAATTTCTATTTTTTCCAGAAAAACCCTCCTGCCAGGTTTTTGGGTCGCACCCTTATTGCCTCTTCACATCTAAACGGTTAGATGGGATCTTGTAACCGGTTAGATGAGTGTGGGCAGCGTTTTTGTCACTGTTTTTGGCCTCCTAACCGGTTAGGAAGGTCTTCTAACCGGTTAGATGATCTTTGGTTGGCACTTTTTGACCGTTTTGCCCCTTCTTCTTCCGTTAGCCGTATCTTCTTCATTCGGACTCCGAATCAAGTGATTCTTAAGTCTAAATTCATTAATTTTTTGTTTTCTTTCCAATGGTGTGCTCAGTGGCACCCACTTTTAAGCTAGAAATG